CTGACAAGCTACGAGTTCGGCGGAGCATCACCTACATTCTGCAAACAGAAACTGAAGAGGGCAGCAGACCGGCAGGCAACACAGCGTTGTCTGCCTGTTCCTGAACTAGCAGCAACAGCAGAAGTGAGAGGTTCGACAGGATCCTTTTTCGTCAGCAGCTGGACCAGGCGCCTGCGGCTACCCCGGAGCCAGGCGGAGTGAGGAGCTTCCGCCCGAGCGGAGAGACTCCGCACGCTCCGCCGGAGGGCCCGCGGCGCCGCCATCTGCCGTCTCTCGCTTACCGCTCTCCGCCCGCGCCGTCCACTGCTCTCCGCTTACCGCTCTCCGCCCGCGCCATCCACCGCCCGCTGCCAAACGCCCACCGCCGCCGCCCGGCCCTGAGACGGTGGCCAGGCCTCTCCGGTCCTGGGGTGGCGGTGGTCAGTCTGCTTGGCTGGACCTGCCTCTCCGCTCATCACAGCGAGCTGTCGGCCGCCCGGCCTGCCCGAGACCGCACGGCACCACGACCGCAGTCGCCAAGGCTGGCGGCAGTCCCAGCTGCAGCTGCTGCTGAACTGATGTCACCAGAGCTGTCATAGCGGACCAACGAGTCACTGGAGCTGTTTGCTTTGACTTTGGTAGACCTACCAGAATATTGCCAGGTGTGCATAGTTTTGGTACCGTTATTTTCTTTCATTGAGCGAATTCATCAAATGATTTTAAAAGAGCATTATTTGGAAAGTTTTTTTGTAACCGTCTTACTGAATATCAAGTTATACAACGATGCGTCACCAGCGCTGTATAAAATATGCATTATTTTATGACACTGTCCTATTCAACTCAATTAAACCTCGAACGTGAACCTAAAATAATTCAGCCTCACTTTTTCATTCACCATCCCCGAAGTTTTTAAACGGGCTCAGTTAAATATTCAGAAATTTCAACTTAAGAGGTATAACCGGCTGCAGCTTCCAGTCAACATAGGATGCTGTCACCAACGCTTTTTGCCGTGGCTACCATCGCGACTAGCTTCAGTCGTTGTCACTCGACACCTTCGCCTTCATCGAGACTCCGTCACCCGTCCCGGCTGCTCTCCGGATATTCGTCTCCCCCGAGACCCGAGCTCCGGGCGTGGCTGCCGGGCCGGCGGCCTGTTCTTCGCAACTCCAAGTGGAGCACCTCGACATCAAGTCACGGAGTCGTCGTCGCCAAATAACCGCTTTCTCCAAGGATCAACACGTGCTGCCTGCTGTCCTCTCCGAGCTATGAAGCTCGGAGCGGAGGGGACTTGCCGCTCGCCAGTCTACCGCTCTAACGCGGCTGACTCCGCCATCCCGACACCGCCGTCTCCTCCGCGCCATCTCCTCCGTCGTCGCAGCTGACTGAGGCTTGGCTAGCGGCGGCACCCGATCAGCGCCCGGCCCGGCCTGGCGGTGAGACGGAGTCGCTGAGCTGAGCTCTGCGCCTGATGGTCAGTCTTCGAGGAGGACCACCACCGGCCGCCGATGAGCTTCCAGATCAACCCTGGCTACACGTCTAGCCAGACGCCGGCTTAGCCTCCCAGCGACGCTCAGCTGGCTTTTCGACCTCACGTCCCCCGGGCTGGAGGCATGCCTGGAGCGGGGCCAGCCGCGAGGGTCAAGTCCAGCTCGCCTGTTCCCGCTACGGCGGTCTGGACCGGTGGCTCCGCGGACGCCGGGTGACGCTGGTCATGCTCTGGCGAACACCAGGATTCTTCCCTGTCGTCTTGGGGCATCGTCGCCCGCCGCCGGCGTCTGGTACGCTCGGTCCTCTGGACGCAGCGGACAGCCGGCGTCAGAACAGGACTGGAGCGGAACTGGTGGACTTCAGACGGCGGAGGACGCATCTGGAGGTCACCTGATTCTTGTGCTCGAGGTGACCAGCGACAACAACTGGTGTACCCCGGCGCCCTGTCACCGCCGCCGCCGCTGGCACGCGCCGAGCCGTAGAGACCTTGTCTCCGGCCGACGCGGCGGCGACTGGACGACGCCGATGCCGGTGTCGATGCCGATGCCGGTGCGGACGCCTCCCGCCGCTGAGACTGGCCGGATGTCACGTCGGCACCGTCCCGCGCCTGTTCGCGAGCTCTACCGTCACCCCAGCCAGCTGGGTGAAACACATCGCTGAGTATCACCACTCCTGGTTGCTCAGAGTGGCGTCGGATCGGCGCGAGCCGCGTCTGAGTCGAGTCGGATGGCCTCGCCGAAGGGTGGGTAAGATGGTGAGTAGAGTCGCGCGCCAGCGACCGGTGAGTATCGTGCGTTAGATTATCCCGCGCTGTTATTCGATATGGCCCAAAATGTGGGTCCGCCCAGACCGATCCCTTGCGACCGCCCTTCTGAGGGTGGTCTAAAGCAGTCAGTCCCACACCCGCCCGGCCCGAGCGGCCCGCTGATACCGCCCGTTCTGACATCCTCCCTCGTGCTGCCGCCAGCTGCTGAAGCGGACCATCCGGGTGGACCACGTGCGAGACTACAAGCCGCCCAAAGACAACGAGGATCTGGACGACATCACGCGTCGGCTGCACGAGGAGGGCGTGGCGCCGCGCACACCGAGCCCGACGCGGCCGGCCGAGCCGCTCCCGGAGCCCGAGACGGAGCACAAGTCGCCGGCCAGCGCGCACAAAGGTGGGTTGAAAGTGGGATAGGGGCGACTGGAGGTATCTGACGGGTTAATCGCAAGGAGTCTTTTTTTATCTCATGACTAGATTATTCGAATAACTGAGGGTGGATTTATTTGAAAGCGGAAATGGCGAAGATAGACAGTGGAAGGCTCGCCGTGTTAGAATCATGCAGTTTTCATATGGGAACGTTAGTGGCTTGAATTTCATTGCGTGTCCGCTGTGCTTAGTCGGCATCAGCTACCAACATCAACGTCGTAAAGTTCATGGAGCGTGTTTAAACGTCATTTGTGTTTTACGACACATTGGCAAGTGTCCAATGATTTGATGCCTTTTTTTATGTTTTACAGTCAAAAAGGAGAAGAAGAAAAAGAAGAAAGTAAAGAAAGAGTCTGACGAGTCTTCGGACGAGGAGCGCTCCCCGAAGAAAAAGAAGTCAAAGAAGAAGAAGAAAAAGAGGGAAGTTTCATCTGATTCTGAAGACTCACTAGATTCTGACTCTGAGGAGGAGCGCCGACGGAAGAAGAAAAAGAAACAGAAGAAGAAAAAGAAGCGTCGCCATTCATCGAGCAGTGAGACAGAGTCCAGTGCCGAGCAGTCGGAGGCCGACTCCTCACAGAGCGAGGACGAGAGCCGCAGCAGCCGCCGTCGGAAGAAGAAGTCGCACCGTCGACGGCGCCACAGCTCCTCTCAGGAGGAAGAAGAGGAAGAGGAGTCCGTGTCTGAGAGGAGCGAGTCTCCCTCCCCACCGCCGCGCGAACTGGAGCGGCGCGACTCGAGTGGTGCGCGCCGCGGCCCGCCGATGCGCTCCGGCGTCCAACAGCCCAACGGAAATGGTCGGCCGTTCCCGGGCCGGCAGGCCAGAGGACGCGGCGGTGGCGGCGGTGGCGGCGGAGGAGGAGGAGGCGGAGGTGGTGGCGGTGGCGGCGGTGGCGGTGCCAAGAGACGGGCGCGAGGCGGGCGGGCGCGTTTCAGGCCCCGTGACATGCAGCAGGAGCAGCAGCGGCAGATGCGTGAGGCCCAGCTGCCTCCGCCGCGTATGCACATTGAAATGGACCAGGTGAACGCTCGTGACCGACGTCTTCTGGAGCTGGCCGAGTACGTCCCGAGCCACCCTGTGCTGGAGCGACACCGACAGGCGCCAGAATCGCTCGACCAGCTCCGCGAGGAGGTGGAGTCACTCCGGGAGCTGGTCAGCTCGCAGGCAGCGCCCTCTCCGCCTCCACCGCCGCCCAAACGCAGGATGCTGTCGCCGGAGTGGCGTGGCCGCTCCCCATCGCCGCCGCCGCCGCAGCGAGGTCGCTCGCCCCCGCCGCCGCCCCGCGGCCGGTCACCTCCGCCCAGAGGGAGATCCCCGCCGCCGCCCCCGCCGCCGCGGGGCAGGAGGGGCGGGCCGCGCTCGCCGCCGATGCCGCCGCCACCCCCTCCCAGGAGCGAGGGGAGACCCATGGAGCGCAGAGATCGCCCGCCAAAGATCAGGCCCGCGAGCCCGCCGCCGGACCGGCGCGACCGCGGCCCGGGCCAGCGGTATAGGAGTCCGGACGGACCGCCCGTTAGGAGAGACCGTGGACCAAACGGACCACCGGATCGGCGAGACCGTGGTCCCAACGGACCACCGGACCGGCGGGATCGCGGACCGAATGGACCACCGGACCGTCGAGATCGAGGACCAAACGGACCACCAGACCGGCGGGATCGAGGACCAAACGGACCACCAGACCGGCGGGATAGGGGGCCAAATGGACCACCGGACCGTCGAGACAGGGGTCGCCCCATGTCACCCGATCGTCGCGACAGAGGACGCCCAATTACTCCCGACAAACGCGACAGGGGCCGGCCAAGCTCCCCCGACAGACGCGAGCGGGAGCGTTCCCCCGTCCGGAAGAAGGCGTCTGAAAGCAGCAGGCGAGGATCAGAGGACTCTCGGCGGGGAAAGCCATCCAATGGCAGGGCAGAACACCGCTCCGGCTCCCGATCTCGGTCTCCGGTCCGACGAGAGTCGTCTGCGTCGGACGGTCGTCGTGGGCGACGCTGATCGACGCAGCGGGGCCAGAGGCGAGCCGGGAAACAAGTTTGAGACTGCCAGAACTTTTGTTGGGCCGGGGTGGAGATGTGAGTTGGGGACGTTTGCGAGTATCGTAAGTCGGAACGTTGTCGAGTGTCCGTTATAAGCGTTGCGAGTATGCAGTCGAAATGTGAATGGGATGTTCTCGACTACCGTATGTCGGGTCGATGTTTGTATGCGGGATGTTGTGCGAAGTCGAGTGTGAGAGTGCGTGGATGATCGTACTGTAGCGATCAGGTGGGGCGTCTCGATGAGGGCGGGTTTTGATCGGGGTTTGCCGGGCGGGGTGGGCGGAGTGTTCCAGAGACGCACTTCTCTTCTCCAGCTGGTGTATTTAGCCGGCGACATGAACACGACGCACGCGCTCACCACATAGGAAAACACCAAGCATGTGTGTAGGCATAAGAGTGTGTGCTACATGCAGTTCTGGGACGAATACATATGGCTTCACTGGACTAGCACTGCAATTTGGTTCGGTTTTCGGGAGAACCGTCGCGCTTTGCCCGGCACGCAACTCGCGCCGCATGACACCGGTGACCAGCAAAAGCTATGACTAGATTTCACGCGACAGTCCGGTGGGCTTCAACACATGCACGCACACAAACATACACACACAGCGCTAATCTAACGAAACAGAAACGCACACACGAGTCGGACGCGACACCCGCCGGCCGCAGCCGGCTGACGGGGCGCGGTCGACTGACTAGATACGCTACAAGGACTAGCTACGTGCATGGCGGGCGCGCCATTCGACTTCCCGCGCACACTGCGCGGACGCGACAACAAAAAGAGGTGCGACAAACACAAACACGACGCGGGCGCGACACAGGCGGCGCAATGAGTGAGAGGATCCGCCGGGCGGCACCCCCTAATTGACGATCAACGATTGACTAGTATGGGTTATTTGTGCTCGACGTCGAAGCCTCGCATTTCATGACTAGGGGTCTGTCTGACATCTCTTCAGAGTCACCGTCTCGCACATACACACACAGACAAAGGCGAGAGCGGTATGCACGGTAAACATGCGAATTAAGTTAGAAAATAAAGATTCAGAATAACTTAAGTAAGCGCGAAAGGCGACGGGCGCCAGCGATCTGAGGTGTAATCGACTACAACCCAGCATCGTGGGCGCGCTACCTGATCGATTCGTCCACTCTCCTCTCTCCAAGGCGTGCTCTGTTTTCAAGCGTCACACTCGCACGTGGGGACGCCGCGAGGTCTGCCCGCGGCAGCCGCGGCCCGAGGCTGTTTGATGATGATCTGACTGGGCCGCTCGCGCTGGCCTCTGGAACCCGTGCTAGTCCGTCTCGGCGCCTCTGACGGCCGACAGGGGCAGCGCGGCTCGTCTGTCTCCGTTCTCTCCGCGCGCTAGTTGACGTTGAGCACGTGCTCGGCGATGAGCGGCGCCTCAGCGAACACGGTGCTCTCCCCGTCCTGCAGACAGACGAACCGGTGGCCGTTGCTCTCGCCTGCCGGGTACAGGGTGACGTAGACGTCCTGACCGCCGGCCACCAGCGGCTCGGCCAGGGTCAGCGGCAGCAGTACGGTCGGCTGCTCGACGGCCACAGCGGCGGCCTCGGCGGCCGGCAGCTCGGCCGGGACAGCCGGCTCCAGCGCGTGCAGCTCGACCGCGTCTACCGGCTGCAGCTCCACGTGATCCCCGGCCGGCGCCGCCTCGCCGTAGCGCCGCGCAAACTCGGCGAACTCGTCCTCGGCCGAGGCGGCCGCGAACTCATTGGTCTCGTCGGCGTCGAGTTCCATCTCGGCGGCGGCGGCGGCGGCGGCCGGGTCGGCCTGCTCGGAGCCGGCCGGCGCCGGCTCCAGCGGCTGCAGCGGCTCCAGCTTCACCGGCTCCAGCTTGATGGTCTCGCCGGACACCCCGGTGACGGCTGTGACGGCTGTGACGCCCGTCACGACGCTGGCGGCCGGGGCGGCCACGACAGAGATCGTAGGCGCCTCCTGCAGGTCCACGCTGACGGCGGCCACGCACGACTTGGCGTCCCGGTGTCGGGTGTAGTTGCTCAGGTCGTAGAATCGACGCAGGCACGTCTCACACTGCCGAGATAAACGTACGGCTTAGAATAGTTTTCTCCGCATTCAAAACATTCCATTTATCAGAAGAAAAAATCATCAGCCTTGACAGCATAGAGTTATTCCACTCGCACACAACACAACACATCGTGGCTTCAGCCTCATCAAAACCGTGGTGGTACGCCAAACATAAATTAATCCACATAGTGTGCGTAGTCACGATATGAATATGTCTGCAGCTGCTATAAAGTCAATATAAAACTCGCGCAAGCCATGGGACACGCGCAGGTTTCCAATCAATCTATTCGTCATCACACCCCATCGCCGGCCCTGAGCATCTTTTACCATGGCATGGCACGCCCACCCAGCTCGACAACCCTTCGCCTCTAAAAAGCACAACTCACCATCCCCTCCCTCACCTGATACTGGGCGTGTCGGTGCATGCTCTGCACGTGCTTCCGCAGAGCCTCGGCCGATGAGAACGGTTTCAGGCAGAGCTGACAGTTGTGCTCGGAGGCGGTCGGCGGCGCCGGTGCCGCCGCCGGTCCCGTCGAGTGGCGCCGCTTCACGTGCCGGTTCAAACTGTGGCTGGCGCCGAACCGCTCCTGGCAGTACTGGCACACGTGCGGCTTCTCACCTGTGGGAACGGAGCGATGCAGCAGGGCATGATTGGGCTGATGAGGTATCCCAGGGCGAACTTACGAGTATAGTGCATGTTTGGGAGGAAGATTTTGTGAACTTTTTCGACAGTTATTTTGACTCTCTACAGACAGGTCAGCAAAAGCGATACTAATTGACACAATAAAATTCAACAACCCTTTTTGAGTATAACACCTTTGATTTGTCAGGTCTTTTGATTTGTCAGCGGTGCTCCACAAATATATAAATTCAAGGACCAGCTCCAAGACAACTAATGGCCTGGTCCTTTCCATGGACCGCACCGCTCCCCGTCACTCCCACTGCGTCACGTACCCATGTGGACCTGCTGTCTGTGACGGCGCAGGCTGTCCCGGGTCGGGTAGGTCTTCTCACAGTCCTCACACACATACACGCCGCCGAAATGGGAGCGGGCGTGTCGCACCAGGCTGGGGGCGGGCGGGCGGGGAGACGGTGTCACGCAGGGTAGACGTGTGGTGGTTGGTATGTGTGTGTGGGCACGCTCTGTTCAACGTATCGACATAGCGAGTGATGAAAGTGTGGTGACATCGGGCAGGTCAGAATATGATTCGGCACACTCATGAAGTCACCCAGCATATCCTGATGAGCCAAAGGAACAGACAAGATATTGTTGCATACCAAAACCATACACAAAATATCAACAAATCAGCCCAGCAAACAAAACAAGAGAAAACATCGCTGACCAGTCGAGAGACAGTGCTTCTTCAACGACCTAGCTCAGTCACATATGGGTGCACCATTCTAAGAGAATCCACTCTCATCCATCCATATTGACCGCTACAGCTACCCCACCCTCTCAGCTCCCCACTCGCCCAGCCCCTACTCACCCGGGCTTAGTCATGAACCTCTTGCCGCACGTTTTGCAGGCGTGTACCACTCCCCGATGGGTGGTCAGACGGTGGTAGTTGAGAGCGCCCAGCATCGAGTACCTCTTACCACACTCGTCGCAGTCAAACGGCTTGGTGATGCCGTGCGCCTCGCGCATGTGCTCGTGCCACGTGCTGCGCAGAGCAAACAGCTGGTGGCACACCGAGCACGGATGGCGCGGCTTCAGCTTCTGCCGAGGGAGAACAAACGTACGGGAGGGTTAGATTCAGAACCTGAGGGCAGACCGCGGGATGGTTTTTTAGGAGGCCAAGAAGGAGAATTGCGCAATGTACAGCCCTCTGCAAACTGCGTGGTAGGTATTCTTTTTCCGACAAAACCGATAATAACGCGAATACTATGATATCGGTCACTCAGAAATCGTAACAGGAAGACGCGCGAGACTCCGCACCCTAGATTGACATTATCATCGTATTCCTTTTCCATCCAGTTTGGCAACAAAACCCAAAAGTTTATATTTGCCCCAAAAACAAACTTTTGCATTTTGTTGCCACACAAGGCGTATACTTTGATTAATGATTGACCCAGTCGAACGAGTGGAGCATGGCGCATCTACTTGCAGTGAGTTTCGACCGACTGATAACATATCTTTTGAGTTAACATCGGTTTTGTCGGAAAAAGAATACCTACCACGCAGTCTGCTGAGGACTGTACGTAGAATGATACTCTGTTCGCTCTATGTGTATATGTGAAGTGTGATCAAGAAGTCTAGATTTCTGCGATACAGTCGGATGCTAACTATCTGTTGGGAAATGATGCAAATGTTTGTGAAAAGTAAGCAGTCCAATGAGCAATAAGTAGTAATTCACCCCGTAAAAATGAAAGAGGTAGCGTCAACATCTGTTCCTAAAGCCGAAACTTGCGGCTGGATGAAAGGCTCCACTGATATGTAATTGTGCTGGCAATCGTGTTGTGTGTGTTTTTTTATATTCAGATTTTTATTAAACTGTTATGTGATGGGTCGTATGCTATGTCATCGATTAACTGCGTTTAAGAACGCGGCAGGCCGGTGATGATAACTTTAATTGTCGATATAAATTGGGCATAGTTCAAACCATTTTGGCGTATTGACGAAGACTCACCAACATAATACCCCGAGCCCCCCAAAAATAACCCGAGGGTTCAGTCGTCCCGATGTCGCCCATTACGTACCGGATCCTCGGGCGTGTGCAGTGTCTTCAGGGGCCGGTCGTGGCCGTTGGAGGGCTGCGCCGGTGCCGACAGCAGCTCGTCGTCGATGGGGCCGCCGCTGTCGGCAGAGTCGGACGAGGTCGCCGGCCCCGAGCGGCAGTGTCGCACTGGTCGCATCATGTCGGCCGCTGCTGGCGCCGCCGGGCGGTCTGTTCTGTGACTAGTTTCGGGCCGCTCTCCTCCGCCGCCGCTCGCCGCCGCTCGGTCCTGACGGGTACGTGCAGCCACCGGACCACCCCCGCCCTGCGGCACAGCGGCACCATATGATCAGTTCACTGTTCAGTGCATACAGATGTGTGTATTGGGACCTTTACACTTATTTGAAATTGTTGCATACACTCAAACAATCTAGCATTGTTACTAATTATGTTGATTCTCCAAATGCTGCCTGAAAGGTAAAGCATTGGAGAAAGCAAAAGTACATGGTAATGGCCAATGGGCACATGATATCAGGCAAGCACCTAGACCAAAAATATTATAATCAAACAAGAATAGGATGGGGAAAAATAAGTGATGAGGTAAATACAAGGTGGGCAAACATTGTCACTTTTCAATTTACAGCAGTAACTTTTCGAAAGTGGTACCTAACAGGTATGAAGAAAAAACTTTCACAACATAAATCGTTTGACAAATTATATAACACACATTTTATGGAAAAGTTTTAAACGAACTGATGTCGACATCATCATTTAAAGGTAGTGTGCTACCTTTGAAAGATTTCCCATTTTATTTTTCCTAGGATAAGAAGCTTCTGTTTTTACCTAATATCGCAAAAAAAAATCAAAAATGGGCCTGGAATAGTGCCTTTTTCGCCTAAAAGTTTATCGGTTTTTCGATATGTATAACAACTGTAGTGGGCTGACCTGCAAACAGGCGTCGGCAACAATCGCGAATGGGGCGCACAGCAAAGGTCATTATAGAGTTACGACGTACGGGAATGAGTTATCAGCTGTCTAATCGTAGACAACACAATGTCGAGCCTTAAACTGTAAGCCTGTATTGGTATTGTTTCTTTTATTTGGCTGTCAAACATTATTTATGGTTTGAAATATGATTTTATGTAAAATAAATTATATGAAAAAGCCGTCTCTTAAAGGTAGTGTGCCACCTTTGAAAGATTTCCCGTTTTATTTTTCCTAGGATAAGAAGCTTCTGTTTTTACCTAATATCGCAAAAAAATTCAAAAATGGGCCTGGAATAGTGCCATTTTCGCCTAAAAGTTTATCGGTTTTTAGATATGTATAACAACTGTAGTGGGCTCACCTGCAAACAGGCGTCGGGCAACAATCGCGAATGCGGCGCACTTGTGACAATAAGCAAAGGTCATTATAGTGTTACGACCATACGACGTACGGGAATGAGTTATCAGCTGTCTAATCGTAGACAACACAATGTCGAGCCTTAAACTGTAAGCCTGTATTGGTATTGTTTCTTAAATTTGGCTGTCGAACATTAATTTGTGGTTTGAAATATGATTTTATGTAAAATAATTGATATGAAACAGCCGTCTCTTAAGTTATGACCCCATTACACCACACGCAAGTGGCAGAAATGACAATGATCAGCTGACGCATTTTTCTTGGCCGAAGTCAGAGCGCGCGGCCCGACGCACCACGCGTATTTGGAAATTCCGACCTCGACGAGCATCAGAAGCCACCTAACAGGCGTGTTCGAAACCGCAGGAGATGATGATGAACGGGTTTATCGAAACTTGATTGGATGAGCCTATCGGTAATAGCGATTTTAGTGTGTGCATTTATTGTTCATAGTGGTGTGAAATGTGGTTGGGGTACGACCGACAACCCGTCGGGGCGAATTTCGCACTGGGGTACTCAAAATTTGAAGAATTTAAGACGTTTCCATAAGTTTTGAAGGTATGGATAAGTCCTAAAAATCCGGTTCTCCTTATCCGGGTCATTAACTCCATATGGTCCAGGAAAGCTGGCACACTACCTTTAAGTTATGACCCCATTTCACCACACGCAAGTGGCAGAAATGACAATGATCAGCTGACGCATTTATCTTGGCCGAAGTCAGAGCGCGCGGCCCGACGCACCACCACCGCACCACAAAGTATGAGCAGAAGCCGCGCCCAAAGCCAGGGCCCCGCCGCCCCGGTAACGTAAGGTAGCCGAGTCGGGGCAGCGTGCGCTGACCCAAGCCGGGGCCGCAGCTTTGGGCGCGGTCTACCGCATCCCCGCGGGCAGCCCCGGGCTATCACATGACACCGGGAGGACGCGCGGCCGCAGCTTTGGGCGCGGTCTACCGCATCCCCGCGGGCAGCCCCGGGCTATCACATGACACCGGGAGGACGCGCGGCCCCGGCTTGGGTCAGCGCACGCTGCCCCGACTCGGCTACCTCACGTTACCGGGGCCCTGGCTTTGGGCGCGGTCTACCGCACCACCTAACAGGCGTGTTCGAAACCGCAGGAGATGATGATGAACGGGTTTATCGAAACTTGATTGGATGAGCATATCGGTAATAGCGATTTCAGTGTGTGCATTTATTGTTCATAGTGGTGTGAAATGTGGTTGGGGTACGACCGACAACCCGTCGGGGCGAATTTCGCACTGGGGTACTCAAAATTTGAAGAATTTAAGACGTTTCCATGAGTTTTGAAGGTATGGATAAGTTCTAAAAATCCGGTTCTCCTTATCTGGGCCATTAACTCCATACGGTCCAGGAAAGCTGGCACACTACCTTTAAAAACAGGGTCTGCGCGTCTCACTTTTATTTGCGCATGTGCGCGAAGAGGGACACCTCCACGCTCAAGGCACATCTGAACGCGCCCCAGGAAGCTGACACCCACCCTCTCCGCGTGGCAGCTGGCACTTAACGCACGTACTGCTCGACGCTGAGACGCAGCTCCTCCAGGCCACCGGGCTTGTTGTGGTGCCGCTGTCCTTGCAGGCTCCCCAAAACCAGTAGTCCAAGTGCTTGAGGTCAGGACTGTGAGGACAGCGTCTACCGCAACAGCGGTAGAACCAGGGTTGCGGAGTCGGAGTCGGAGTCGGAGTTGGAGTCGGTCGTAGTCGACAGTTCTGCCCGGAGTCGGAGTCGGAGTTGGAGTCGCCAGTCTTACCGACTCCGACTCCGGAGTCGGAGTTAACGCTGCATGTCTCAAGGACATGCACTGCACCTATTTGATTGGCGGTACTGCGCTCGAGATTAGGTTTTGTCGAAAAAATGTCATTTTGCTGTTTTGGACGAACGTTTTCAGCGATAGAACCAGAAGACGGTGAATTCCCTTCCCTAGAACCTGCTTTTTAATTCTGCATGTTATTTTTAATGCATATTTGCAACGCAAAGCCTGGGAACGCACAAGGGATCGTTTGAGGCAAAATAAGAACATCTCCAATCTCCATTATGAACTTCAATATCATGATATGGATTTTAATAGGACCGTCCGGAGTCGGAGTTGAAGTCGGAGTTGGAGTCGGAGTCAGAGTCGATTTTTTAAGGCAGAGTCGGAGTCGGAGTCGGAGTCACCCTAAAATCCATCGACTCCGCAGCCCTGGGTAGAACAGCGTCTACCGCAACAAGCCCGGTAGCCTGAAGGAGCTGCGTGTCAGCGTCGAGCAGTACGTGCGTTAAGTGCCAGCAGACACCGCGGAGAGGGTGGGCGCCAGCTTCCTGGAGCGCGTTCAGATGTGCCTTGAGCGTGGAGGTGCCCACTTCGCGCACATGCGCAAATAAAAGTGAGACGCACAGACACCATTTTTAAAATGATAATGGCAACATCAGTTCCAATGAAACTTTTCCATAAAATTGGTATCATATAATTTTTCAAACGATTTCCTTAAAGTTGTGAAAGTTTCTTCTTTGTATCTTTTACCACTTTCGAGAAATCACTGCTGAAAAGTGGCACACTTCTTTCCCACCATCTATAAGTGATAGCACAGCTGTGCCTACCTTCTTTAAGTTAGGTACTTTCGTTTTCTTTTGATAAAGCTATTGAAAAATTTTCGAGCTCCTAGAAGTGAGCAAATATCTACAGACTATCATGCAAAAAAGTGTCACCAGACAGCATCCACAGAATCAGATAACTTGACTTATAATTAAGTAAATATACTTTAAATGCAGGCATAATTTGTCAATTTTCTAAGCCAAATAATGGCTCTTAAAATTCAGGAGACAAGTGATTGAAAAGCAGAAAAAAGGTTTCAATAAAATAAATTCGTTGGAGGTGAGCTATGGCTAGTTTGAGCATAATTATGAATATTATGATGGTAGAGAATGACCTTATGCTCATGATACAATGAAGCCACAGAACATGACAACATTGTCATGTTAGCATGATAGCTCAAAATATCAAGTCATTTGTGATTTTTTAAGTTAAGGCAAGCATATATTTACCATGCAGCTAGTAGCTACAATAAGTAATTGCCATTCGTTCAGATAATTACAGGTGATTCCACATTTATTCATAAAAAAATTAACTGTTATTGAACAGAATTAATATTGTGTGTGTAATCACCGAAAACAATTACATTACCATCTGCAGAAAAGTTCAACATCTTTTAGATGAATAAGTAATAGGTGTAAAGTACCATTGGTATCTTGAAAAAACTTAGTAATGTACCTGCATATTTGATGGATAAGCTTTTCCAAAATGCAATTTCTACTTGTTCTGTTTTACATAAAAGGAGAAATATTAGCATTGTTTAACATCAAACATGTGCCATCATAGCCATATTTATTGGTTGAAAGCTTTTTAGTTAAAAAAAACTATTATGTAAGTAGGTAGTGTAGCTAGGTAGGTAGATAAATACCATGCACCCATTAACAAAATCAAACATAGTTTGCTAATGTGTCTTCTTGATTCAGCAACTGGTAAGCAGTATGAATCCCCATTACAATCATGTGTAAAAATCCTGGCTAATGTATGGATATCAATCAAATCTTTGACACCAGTATTTCTCTATGGTTTGCAGGATTCATGAACCATGAATTTCATGGTACCTAAAACTAAAGCAGAGGTCAACAATAACATGATTTTTAAAAGATAAAATTGGAACCAACATATATTTTTAAGTCCTTGTAAGTGAATGGCCACAAAGTCAAATCTTATATTTTTGTTTTCATGACTATGAGCAGTACCTACTATTAACGACCATCAAATATTGAATCAGTATGTTGAAACATAGGTACCATATCCATAGTGAATTTGAGGCTGCTGCTGACTGAATGTGGACCTCAGCTTTGGAAATTCATATCTTTCTGGGCTTACTCCAGCAATGCAAAATCATAAGCTTTGAGTGAAATGGTCCATCTAAAATTGGCCAAAGATTGTCACAAGTTTGAATAGCTCATGCAAGTCTACGGGTAAGTAACTTGCCTCTAGATTCAGCCATACGGGTTCGATTCCTGGGCAATGCACATGGCGTTGCCACTACCTGACCTCTTGGAACAGCGTGAGAGTTCCGGTTAGCACCTTGGTCCACCGGATATGGTGCTTAGCCCAAACCAACCAACCAACCAACCGAATAGCTTATGCCTTTTCAGTCCAATTGGGACACATTCAGGAAACATTCATTAAAATTACAGTTAACATTCCATCTTTCAAACACAGTACAGATAAAAAATTGAAAATTGCTCCAAAGAAAATTCAGTCCCTATATTTTTATTTGTGATGACCTATGACAAATGCATAACAAAACACGCCATCTTGCATCCAAAACAGCACCGCCAGAAAACGGCTACTTTTCAAAGCTTCAAGGCAAAGATAGTATCAACAAACTGGACAGCGAAAAAATCGTGATTTTACCCACGCATGAGAAAAATAATTAACAGATATTATCTAAAAATATAGCTAAAAACCTACCGATCCCCCGCAGCTCTCTTCGATCCCTGAGTGATTTCTCGACAAATACGACGCATATGCTCTGAATTGGATCAGCTGTCTGTTCAATAGCAGGTATCGACAGCTATCTAGCATTCGTAAGCCAACAGCGACCAATCAGAGCATCGCGTTAAGTTCTTCCCAAATTTATCTCAATATATTCAATATAATATTCATCGCTGTATTTTCCAAAGTATTTTCCTATTTACACCCAACATTTGTTCTAGCATCGCCATGGCCATTTGCCATCGTAATTTCCTTGACGCAAAGTATACTTTCATCTGTGGGCTTCGAAATAAAGTAAAGTCTAGTGCCATGGGCCATGGCAATCGGTACCGCTTGCCGACCGCCGTTACAAGACGCAGCGACTGGTTGGTCTCTGGTCTCGGATCAACCAGTGGCGGTCGCATGGGGGGCATCAGGGCCATGCCCCCCCCCCCCAAGGCAAATCAGGGGGGCAGGGGTGTCGTTTTCCGAAAATGATTGGTAGTGCCCAAAGGCGGCGGCTGGCCATATATGACGGGGCTTACAAGGTAGGGTACCCCCAAATCTGCCTTTCTCATCGGATTTCGGCCACTTATTTTTCGCCCTGGTCATTGACAAGACTAACCGAAATCTAAAAAAAAAAAACTTTGGAAATCTGGGTCCACACCGGACGCCATGCACAAAACGCGCAGTTATATAGGCAATAGTGTCGGAGGAATGCACGCCATTCTGAAAGAGGCCCACATCGACTTAAAAGGACGGCTGTGCTGAAAGGGGACAGGAACAGCTTTGAGGGCCCAAGCCGACTAAAAAAGACGGCTGCGGGGCCAGGAACGGTTTTGAAGACCCACGCCAATTGAAGGGTTCGACAACTAACAAGGACTGGAAACACAACGATGGTTAGAAAGACCTGCTTGCCAAAATAAAAGGATGACAGTACGAGGGGCGTTCAGAAAGCTACGGGCCCGACCATGAAGGAGCAGAGAGATACAGCATCGACTCATTAGACCAAAAAGTTCATTTATTCAAATAAACACCGTTAGGACAAACACATTTCGCGCAGCGCTTCGCGAGAGCCCTCAAGGCCTCCATAACCAAGTGGGTTTTGGACCCATCCTGCACGTCCAAGACGGCTGATTTCGTCTCCCTGCTGTTAGCGAGGTTGCCGCTGCTAATTTTCTTATGTTGGGGAAGAGGTGGCAACCACTAACCAGAGTGTGCAAGGTTCGGAGAGAAAAAAGTGGATGCGACAACAACTCGAAGCTCATCGCTTCACTGTTCGTCATCCCGCCCATGTACGCAGGTGCGTGGTCGCGGATCAGCCATCAGGTGCACACTTTACGTCAGCTTCCCTATAGCCTCTCCTCGATGTTTATCGAATGGACGCACATCATCAATTGTGTGCCCCTGTTTTGGAAAGTTGACGAGCGGAGGGGGGTCGCATCGACCCCTCCCCCCTGCCAGGCCGTGTTATGAAAAATGCCCAGGGCGAGGGTTAACGCTTGGTGCCTTTTCTGCACTAACTACTATGAAACGAATCACTGCTCTCTTCTGGGCGTCGCCCATCCTATCCGAAATGGCGAACTATGCTACGAATAGAAGCCCGAATCAATCACAGAAGAGACTTAATTAATGGCCACTTACTTAATTTGCGTAAGTGGACATCCCAATAACACATCATTTAACACACCGCCTTGCAGGCCAAAATTCCAACTCCTTCATTGTTCGGCCCGAAACTTTTTGAACGCCCCTCGTAGTTACGAGCTTCAGTTTTCGGGGTCTGATGCGGTAATGACCTGGTGTTGAACCCTGGGGAATCAGGCTGCATCACCCACTCAAATCAATATACCTATGGCCTATTCTGGAGCACCGCGGCACCTTCCGAAGTCGGTGTAGGGCCTCCAGCGGCTGGTGTGGAGACGGATCGGGGTCTATTAGGGGCGGTCGCGTGGTATGCGGGACTCAGAGGCAGTTATGGACCTCTATAACCAATTGCGTTTTCGAGCCTCTTAAAATCCATTAAGGACCGGAGTCCTAGACACGTGAAACCTCATTGTCAGCTACATGCACCTACTGTGGCTAGAACCTTATTTATGTACTTGCATATGTGCTTATTTAATATTTGCTTATCTGTTTATTTTGATTTTTTATCAACTGATAAGTGACAAAAGATTGGTAGGGCTCAGCGAACATTGGTAGGGCCCAAATAAACATTGGTAAGGCTCGGGCCCTACCAGGCCTATACAAAACGACGCCCCTGACTATTGTGAAACTTGGTAGGTAGGTAGGTAGGTAGGTACCACATAACTTGAAATTACTTGACGTAATGACATGATGTGGAAAGTGAAAATGATACCTAGGTATTGATGGAAATTTATGGACTTAGGTACGCTACAAGAAGATTGAATTGGTCAACCAATTCAAATTCAATCTACTTGTGGAGTAAGTCTATAGATTTTCATCAATAGTTACCACTTACCATTGAAGTTACTTGCTATCATGTTGATTTTATACATAAGAACCTCATTCATTTTATTTGTATGACATGTTTGAATGCAATTTTCTCAATAAGTGAAGAAAATGTTGGTAGTGCTCAACAACACATTGGTAGTGCTCAGCTGAACATTGGTAGTGCTCGGGCACTCCCAGGCCTATACAAAACGACGCCCCTGCAGGGGGGCCATCATATCATTTGCCCCCCCCCCCCAAAAAAAAACAACCGACAGGCTCCTATGGGCGTATGGGGCCCTCACCCTGGCCCGTATTCGATTGTCACGAGGCTCGAGAAATTCACGCCAGCTATGAACAGCTCCCATACCGGTCTTTGAGGGTCCTACACTGACCTCTGAGGGCCCTTCAGTGGCGGTCAAGCACCCACATAAATTGACCGCTGAAGACCCACGTTGACCTCTGAGGGCCCTCCACTGACCTTTGGGTGCCCCTAAACCGGCCTCAGGGGCCCAACCAGTGGCTGAGGGCCTCACACCGACCTCCGGTGGCCTCATTACTGTCTTAACTAGCCTTTAATTAAGTGCCTCTGGGGGCCCGCACTGGATTCTGAAGACCCGATGTCTGTCTCTAAGAGCACGGGTCGGCCTCTGAGGGCCCATCTTGGCCTTTGAGGGCCCTCCGCTGGTCTCTGGGGTCCAACGCCGGCCCATGCCGGTCTTTTGCCCCACACTGACCTCTAAGGGCCCCATGCTGGCCTGTAAGACTAAGGACCCACATAAGCCTCTGAGCCCCCCCCCCCCGCACTGGATTCTGAAGAGCCAATGCCTGCCTATAAGGGCCCGCATCGGCCTGAGGGCCCATCTTGGCCTTTGAGGGCCCTCTGCTGGCCTCTGGGGTCCAACGCCGGCCCATGCCGGTCTTTTAAGATCCCACCCACGCTAACTTCTAAGGGTCCCATGCTGGCCTGTAAGAACCCACATTAGCTGCAGCGCCAAGTAAATAGGTACGCATTCGATAGCTCTTTCAAAGTTCTTTCTGTTTGCTATTCCCAGATTTGATCTAGACTCAACGGTTAAGCCTCCAAGTCCAGAGTCCAGTGAGCAACAACTCAAGATTTGACGTTTTTGCGGAACACGTTTTTCTGCAGTAACTTTTGACACCAAGGTCAAGCATATTACGTTAATTTTACCGGCATCGCGGTTCTCTCGCCGACGGCCGAGACGCGTCGAAGAAACTATAAGTTGACCCTGAAAAGATCAACTTTAAGTTTGATCTTAGGTCGAGGTCACGTATGCCTAAAGGTAATGCGCATATCAGTCAATATTTGGTGACACTTGAGCTGAACGCAACTTCAAGGTGTTTTCATCGCTTTAGCGTGTTTCTACCTAAAGTTATTGTAAAGAAAACTGTTATAGACGTTGCATGACCTGAGGTGATTTCAGGGGCATAAAAGGGGTCACGGGTGTAATTTTCTGATTCAGTGTGTGTGTCATGCTGACCCTTTTCCGACAGTGTGTGTGTCATCTGACAGTGATGTTCGAGTGTCTTTTCGTCCAAAAGAAAGGGAGTTCAAATTTCTTCCATTGACTTATGCGACACTTACTATGAACGTCAAACCGCTTGAGACCCCACTTTTTTGCGATAATTTTAAAATGCGTCAACTCTCGTTGACAATATTCTGGCAATGTGTGTTTCAGAACCTGCCGAAACTTTTATTACTAAGGTATTTTGACGCCAAACGATTATGGAAGGTACTTCTCATTCACTCGTAATGCTAAGGTCAATTCAGGCCCGGGCAGAGGCTTGCGCTCGGCCACACTCGAGCCCCGCCACCAGCGCCATCTGCTCTAAATGCCATCTACTAGCGCCCGCTACCGCTACCAGCTACCGCCCACCATCAAGCCTGAATGGAGCGAGGGACGCGAGTGACCGGTCGCCGGGCAAGGAGCGCCGGAGGGGTAGGGCGGAGCTTAGCGCTGACGTCATTACGTGGCTCCGCCCCATGAGCGCGTAGCCTCTACCCAAACAGCAGATTCGTTCCGTGAAATTTAACATTACGAGTGAATGAGAAGTACCTTTCATAATCGTTTGGCGTCAAAATACCTTAGTAATAAAAGTTTCGGCAGGTTCTGAAACACACATTGCCAGAATATTGTCAACGAGAGTTGACGCATTTTAAAATAATCGCAAAAAAGTGGGGTCTCAAGCGGTTTGACGTCCATAGTAGGTATACCCATCTTATATATAGTGAAGAGATCGCAAAATTGAGGTCTAGCTTTAGGTCACCGATATCTAAATTCTAAGATAAACAAATTATTGATGATGATTCCATTGTCAATTGCCCAAGCCTTCAAACAGGATATAGTCTGTAAGAATGCCAGATTCACAAAGTTTTTAGAGGTATGGTTACTTACCTTGCCCTG